ACATTCACAACGTTAATTAAATAGAATTGCATAAAGTCTCTTAAAAGTCTTCCTTACTCATCTTGGAATAAAAAGAAAGCAGTAAAAAACTCATTAAAGCGAAATAAAAAACCAATTAATTTAATAAAATTAAGTGACCAAACGTATATTATGTTAAAAGTGCTGTTACTAAGCATTTAAAAGCTGCAGTATGTACTTTTTTTAGTGACAAACTCACAATACATAAAATAAAAAATATAAACATTCTAAATGTTGGTTTGTGCCATGAGGTATTAATTAATATTTATAATTTCGATAAAGGTATTTTCGTTCAAGTCATTCATATTATCCGAATCAATCGAATTTAATGAGTTCAGAAGTTTCGTTGATTGAAAACTGATTTGTTTTTTTTGGAAAATTTTCGAACGCTTTTATTATTATTATTAAATACTTAGGGCGTGTGCGAGTTAGGCTAAGTTGATGCTAACCCAAATAGGAGATTTTTTGGGATTTTTTGCACTGCACACATTTAGCCATTTATCAACATGTATCGACACATCACTACATTACCGGCACAACTTAGAATTTCCCTCATTTAGAACGCAACTTAGCCTAACTCGCACACGACCTTATTATTTAATTATTATTATTATATTGAGGCTAGTTGAGTCAGTGCACTTAAGCACTTCTACTCTTTATTAACTGCGAGGTTTCTTCATAATCACTCGCTACGTCTTGACTGGTTTATTGTTTATCACTTCATCAGACTAGACTAAGCAATAATTGACCTCAGATCTGCAGACCTCTCCGAGGTGTTTGTAAACATTCTAAGATTCGATAACGTTATGTTAGTAAGTCTGTCAGTTTTCACAAATAATTTCAGGGCTCTATCTTTTATGTATTTTGTGATCGGATCAATCTTGAAATCTTCTCAGAGCCTGGCTTTTTGAAATTTCTAGCTAGCGAATAGTAGTGTTTGAAGCTTTGCTAAATGCTACACATCCATAACTTCTATATGGATCGGTCGAATTATTTGGTTATATATCAGTTTTTTGTTCTTAGCATTGAGATTTTCATTTCTGAATAGCGGTTGGAGGTGGTAAAGAATTTTGGCACAGCTAATTCTTTTCAGTTGTACATATTTAAACCATGTGATTCGTTTGTCCACCGTGATGCCTACATATTTAATTCTATTCTCCCAGTTTATTACCATATCTCCCATTCTCGACGGATTTTGTCTCCATTTACGCGTAATAAACTTGCTATCTTCCCAGTTTATTACCATATCTCCCATTCTCACTCTCGACGGATTCTGTCTCCATTTACGCGTAATAAACTTGCTATCTTCACAGTTTATTACCATATCTCCCATTCTCACTCTCGACGGATTCTGTCTCCATTTACGCGTAATAAACAGAGCTTTAATTTTTTTATTATTGATTTTTATTTTCCATTTCTGGAAATACTCCAGGATAAGTTTTATATGCTCCTGAAGTGTGTTGGTTCATTTTTTGTATAACAATAATTTAATATATTGCAAACATTTTTTAATAGTGAGTTTTACTTTTATTACGCACCACTTGCTTGACGCAAGTAATTAAATGCGTAAAGTTTAAAAATCTCCGTGGACGTATGAGTGACTAATAATATAAAAATTTAGTAGGTGAAGTTTTTTTAAAAAAAGTAGATATTCATACCTATAGATACAAATTACTTAGATATAGATATTCTATATATATATCAGTGTTCATTTATTATGTTATTATATAGTAAAGATATTTTTACTTAAAGATTCTTATAATTTATTATTTTGTATTTGTATTTATTATTTACTAAATACCTTTAAATACTTTAAAAAAATTCCTACAATGCCAACGAATGATAAAAAAATTTCTTAATTGATTATTGAAACGAAAGGTGCAAAATAACAAAATTGTTTAACTCAATTTTTGACGTCATAAGAATTTGCAATTTGTTGTCATGTTGTCGAGCACGTTCACACATTTTTGCTACACTTAACAATAAGAATCAAAAACCAAAAAAAAAATTAAAAAAAATTAATAATACACAATTAAATTAAATTATATATGAAATAGAAAAAAAGTTGCAATGTAGCCTAAAAGTCTAAAATATTTTTATAATTTATCAGCCAGCGAACTTGTTAATTCCATTAATAAAAAAATTATTTTTATGACTTTTTGCACTTGAAATTTGTATTTTACCAGCCTTAAGACAGCAGCAATTACGCAAAATCCTACAATTACACTGCAAAAAATAACAATGCATATATGTAACTTTGTACTCACTATCAGGGAATTTATAAAGTCAATATATATATAAAATCTAAAAAAGAAAATATTTTTCAATTTAATTAAAAATGTTTCATAAAAATCCAAATTTCCAACTCAATAAAATTCTTGGAATTCTCCTACTAACTTTATAATATATATAAAAATTTTTTTTATTAATTAATTTTCATGAATTACTGAAATTCAATTGAAATGAAAAGTAAATATTTTTCTAAATATTTTACTTCTGTAGATCTTTGCCTTTGAAAGCAAATAAAAGTCTTAGAAATACTCGGCATGTTTTATATCTAAAATTTTAATTGCACCGATTAATGTGAAGTAGACGAGTATTTCTGTTTCTTCATAGTATTTGATGTTTAGTTTCCAAAAAGATATTTTTATGTTTCAAGTGCCATAATAGTTCTAAATGTGAAACTAAACAGTTTGAAGTGTTGCAATACTATCGAACCTGTCAAGTTGCGGCGACTTCATTTTATAGATTCTATAGAAAGATAAAAGATTTCAAAGAAGATATTTTCAAGGAAATGCTCAGATTTATATCAAACAAATATCAATAAAAATATTTGAAGAGTAAACACTAATAAATGGGCTTGATAATATTAAGTATTCTTGGAATGTGAAGAATAAATATATTTGGTTTAAAAAGTATACGAAATTTATAATTTAAAATAGGTGCCTCAAAAATACCATCACTATTTTTTCCTCTATGTTGGTAGCACTGTTCCATGTTACGACGCGAGATTAGATGATCACCTATGCAGTGTCTTAACACTAGATAGTTTGTAGTTATATATATACTCTTAAGCATCAAAACATTTATAGCATATAATGGAGAAATTACCTTACTTATCTGATGTGATCTCTCATGACTTTTTTCTTTTAACATTTTACCAGTTGAAATTACCATAATTACACTAGAAAATAGATTAACTCTCTTTAATTAATAAAAGTATTTTTTACTCGCTTCTTATTCGTCTTGAGATCAAAAAGGAGCTGTAAATAGATCACTAAACAAGTACTGTTTCAAAAGCAAATGCAGGTTTTCGGATTTTTCCTACTAAACTCTTAAAAAACCTATCATTCATAATAATATCAATTTAGTTGAAGTTAGAATAATTTAAATGGTAAAGCTGTATGTCGGACTTCACGTGGACCGCCTTTTTACCTCGAGTTAATTTTTCCTATATATATACCTATATAACACTTTAAGCAATAAATTAAGAATCTTGTATGTTCTTATATAAGTTCTTGATAGCTTATCGGATTGCTTAGAAGGCGTTATCATCGTCGATGTTAGTTTTTTCTATGTGAAGTAAACATCTGTGATTACATATCTATACAACTTTAACCAATAAATTGAAAAGCTTGTGTGCTCTGATATAAATTTTTGAAATCTTATTGGGTTGCTTGGAAAAGAGTATTTTAAAGAATTCTATGAGGCCTCTATATAATATATGAAAATTTGATAATTCTTCTTACTGTTGGACGGGGCCACAAAGATCGCTAGTTGTAAATCAATGTCTCATGCAGGTGGGTGTGATTATTCGACTATAAGTGGTTATGAATGCTTTACGATCTTCTGCTAATAGATTCAAGTACCAAGTTCGGTTCTACACAAGTTAATTGGTTCCCCAAATTCAGTTGGTTTGATATTTAATCTTGTCGCAGAGTTAATGATTTTTTTGAATTAATAACTATATTTTTAATTTTATGTGAATAAACAATTATTTTCATATAAATAAATATTTTTTCACCTTACCACAAAAGTGCAATAAAGAGCTATTATGTAGCACTTTAAAAATTTCTTAACCAAATTTAGTTAACACTAAAAGTTCTATGGTTAATAGAGTCCTACAATTCTTAAAAGTAGTTAATCATGATGAAAATGATGAAATCAAATATGATATCATTATATATCTATATATGATTTAATATTAACTATTTTAACTAATATTAACCACTTCTAGGGTACAAAGTTTTTTGTTCGGTTTCAACCGGTAATATTTTGCATAGTGCGTATCTGATAACATAAATACAACTTCTTGTTGATTCATAAACTACGGTTATGGCCAATAATTGACCAATTTACGCAATAGCCTAGTAAATATTCACAAAACACTTTATCTCCAAGTGTAAAATTATTATTGACATTTTTTAACCACGCGTATTTGTTATAAACAATCGAAAGATACTTTACCTTGATTATCGGCGCAAAAGCTAAAAAACCACAAAATTTCGTGAAGTTGTTTATAATCGAAGAAAAATGTGGTAAATATTTTCTACTTATAAAATAAAATCTTAAAAAAATTAAATTGTTTGCCCATATTTACTACAGGAAATGCCAACGACAAAAGTTGTTTTTGAACAGGGCCAACATAAATTAGCATTGCTAATCTTATCAGTTTTGGACTAATTCAAGTCCGCATATTTTAAAGCCGTGGGAATTAATTTGAGAAGACTTTACTAATTTTGTCGAACATGTAAATATGTTAAAAAATTTGTAAATATATTTTCAAATAAAGAAATTTATCATTTTCATTTAATTGGAAATTTGTCTGATCTACTCATGCTCACGCCATCAAATATTTGAAACTCTACTCATACATTATCCACAACGAACCGGAAGTATATTCATTTAGACATATGTTTTCCCAACTAATTTATTTAAATCGATAAGATAAGCAAAAAATGTTAGATACTTGAAGTTAAACAATGTTTTCTGTTCTTCTTTATAGATATACGAAACCGCAATCTTTTGAAGACTGTGTCGGAGATGAGTTGCCCGTTGGCTGGGAGGAGGCTTACGATCCAAGCATAGGACGATACTATATAAATCACATAGCACAAAGTACACAACTCGAAGATCCACGTCAGGAATGGAAATCAGTGCAAGAGCAAATGTTAAGTGATTATTTATCAGCGGCACAGGATCAACTGGAAAATAAACGAGAAATGTTTGATGTGAAGCAGCAACGTTTGCTTATAGCACAAGATGAATACAATCACCTTAATAAATTGGCAGCGAGTCGAAGCAGCTGTAAGTTGATTATAATATCTTTTTAATAAATTATATTAATTTTTGTTTATTTCTGTAGTATGTTCATCGTCAAGCTCTATGAGCAGACATGATCCAGAACTGCTACGCGCCGATCTTGCTTTGGCACGAGAGCGTGTGCGACAACTTAAGCAAGAACTGAATCATATAACTAATGACATAACGTTTACGGAACGTGGCATGAGTACCTTGTATTCAGTGGGTGAGAAAATCAATGCGCGCCAAAATGGCTGTTATGATATCGCTGAAGTACAGGCCATACACGAAGAGATGCTAAAGGTGCACAAATCGCTAGTATCAGGTGAAAAAGTGCGTGAAGAATTGATGCGTAGCCTAGTGCAAATTAAAAACGAATTAAGCCGTCAACAAATAAATGAAGAAAATGCTGACTTCATGAATACCACTTCTCCATTTGATCGTGTATGCGTTGCGTCGCAAACAGATCTTTGTGGCGCCGGTGATAACATGAATAGTGGCGCACGTTTCGCAGAAATGGCGAAAACGAAACTGCAATATGCAGAATGGCGTAAACATATTAAAAATTTGCAACAGCAGTTGGCTGATCATGTGGAGCGCATAGAACCCGGTCAATTGGAATCTGATAAAGATCGTATTCTCTTAATACAGGAAAAGGAGAAATTACTTAATGAACTGAATAGCATTTCAAATAAATCGCGTACACCTGAAGAAATAGAAGTCATACAAAAAACGCGTCGCAAACTGGAAGATGATTTGAATGAAGCGCACGAAGCTACAAGTCAATGTATTGCCAATCGTTTGCGTTTCCATGAAGAAAAGCAATTATTGCTAGACAAGCTACAAGAAGCAATTAAATACACAAAAATGCTAGAGGAACGTTTGAAATCCTTTTCCTCTGAAAGCACATTTTCAATTAGTAGCGGTTCCAGTTTGGGTTCACTTTCTACAGCGAGTAGCAAGAGTGCTCTTAGTTTTACAGATATTTATATTGATCCGTTTGCTGTAGATCCACAAATAGATGTGGTTGACTTAAGTCGCCGATCACAACGTCTATTCCAGCACCTGCAAGCACAACAAGCTGCACAACAATCACTCGCACAACATCCACAACTGCAACAACAACAATCTTCAGAGATTTCTCTGTCACCACGCAGCAGTCTTTCAATGGAAACACCACCCGCCTCGCCTATGAAATATAATTCAACAACAGATCCAAAAGAAGAACGTACATATGCAAATACTTCTGCTCCGTTAGCACCACAATATCAGTCTAATAATGCAGCTACAACTACAAATGCACGCACGCATCCTAATGATTTGGATACATTCGTGCTTGACTGCATGATGCTGGAAGCAAAACTACAGAAACTCAATATGTCTTCACCAATTAATTTGGCTGCACCACTGTCTCCAATTTCAGAAAAACCATCTCTGCTGGATTTGCCACAAGAAATGGTCAGTCGTTCATCTTCAACCTCGAATACACGTTCTGTTTCAGCGGCAGTGAGTAATGAATCAGTTGCTGGCGATTCAGGTGTATTTGAGGCGTCTAGAGCACACTTACCCCGCAAGGAATTAGCGCAACTACAAATTGGTTTGAAATATTTGAAACAAAAAGGAGTGCTGGTGGTGTCCTTAGAGCGTGCGAATAATCTGTCGGCATTATGGACAGCTACAACGGACAATTCACAAGTGTAAGTAAAGTTTAATGGAAATTATCTGACATGTTAAAAAAACAAAATCATTTGTATTATTAAAGCTTGGAAAAAAACTTCTTGTATTAAAATTATATGATGTACTCGTATATAAAAATAACAAAATTTTATTAAAACAATTTTTTCTTTTTTGTTATAGTTATTTACGTGCCGCTTTACTACCAAATTCGCTTACATCAATTCGCACAAATGCCGTATCAGACTTTCATAAGCCCGTCTTCAGTGAAACGTTTGCCGTGCCAATATCGCTTAGCAAACTACAAACAAAGAGTCTTCAAGTGACGGTAGTCAGCATGACTGGACAAAAAGAGGAAATAATTGTAAGTTTAATACAAAAAAAACCATCGATTTAAATTAATTGACAATAAAACCCAATAATATTTTTTTATAGGGCACTGTGCAAATAAGCATGGCCGAATTTAATCCAGATGATTCAACGCTGAAGTGGTACAACGTGCTCAGTTCCAAATTCATAAATACTTTCGAGCCACTCGATATGCCGTCTACAAGTGCTGCAGCCGTAGCGGCGGCTACAGCACTGGCTGCAACAACCACACATACAACAGCTACTGTAACTACTGCCACCAACTGTAAAGAAGAATCTTCGGATGAATCCACAATAACATCGTCACAAACATCAACGTTAACGCGCAATCAAGCGCCACCTTTCGAATTACAAGAACAAATTACTGAAGAAGTAACAGAAAACTTAAATGGTGAAGATGAAGATGATGATGATGATGACGATGATGATGATGAAGAAGAGGAAGAGGAGGAGGAATTGGAAGGAGCCGTTGGTGGTTCTACAGATGGTAAGCATTTTAAATGAAATAATTTGATTTAACTAGAAAAGTAATGTTTTCTTCAATTTTTTATTATTTATTGTTTAGCTTTCGTGGCTGCTTATTTGATGAAACAAGAATATGCTGACAAACAAACAAATACAGAATGTGCTTTTCCACCAGAAAAATCTCGTTCCAGCCAACAACAACAGATGTCAGATGATAGGCCTGTGAAACGTTCGCAAACCTTCACACCTTCAGCTGCCGTGGGTAAAAATCGTTATATATGCCGTTTAAATCGCAGTGATTCTGATTCTGCCATGCATTTCGGTGTGACACCGCATCCTTTCCATCGTGGTGCCATTGAGCGTCGTTCATTACGCATACATCCCAAAGCACCAAAATCAGTGACAAGTATGTATTGAAATGATGTAAACAAATTAAGAAAATAATATTAATGGTGTTTGTTTTTTCTTTTTATGTAGAACTACATCATACTCATATACCTAGAACAAGTTTAGATTTGGAGTTGGACTTACAGGCGCAGCATAGTAAGCTTTATTATCTTAATGATGAAATATCCAAGCTGCAAAACTTGAAAGAAACGTAAATATTCATTTAACATTTGAGTCGCTGAAAGCATTCTTATTTTTTCAATTTATTATTATAGTTTAGAAAAAGCGCGCGATAATATGGATCCTTTGATTGCCTCTTGGGCGATGGAAAATGAGGAATTCCAACGTTTAGTTGAACGTGCGGATCCTTCTAAGTGTCCTGAAGAAAAGCAATTACAAAAACTACTAATCAAAACAACCAAAGAAATTTATAAGCTGCGTAAAACAAAAGTGCCTAAAGGTTGTCCGGATTTAGTATCATTCAAGTAAGTAAAAATAGGACATGTATATTCATTAATTAATTTCTTGAGTAGACATTGATTTTTAAATATTTTTTACACTGGAAGATTATAAATATCTTCCCTCACATAATTATTAGTTTTATTACTCACTTACTGCTGTCCTTCTTTTCTAATGGAGCGCAGGGCCTTTGGAGCATAGGACATTAGTTTTCTAACATTTTTTTAAACATTAAATGGAATTAATTGCCGGCGTAAAATCAAACTCAAACGGTGTATTAAATCAGTATTGTTAATTTCGATAATTACTTACTTTAAGGAACTCCTTTTCAGTTTTAGAACTTTAATAAATGGCCTTGAACCGATATATTTGCCGGAGCGAAAATAAGAATCGAACCCAAAAAAAAAAATTTTGGTCTTATAACGGCTCCGCATTATACAGTTGGATAGTTTTTTCTTCAGAGACATTATTCTTCAGTTTTTAAAACTAAAATGTTTTATTAATAAATATACGTATATATTATATTTATTAATAAAGCAAAATATATTAAAATAAACAAATTTTTCTTTTTAAATATATAATTCTAACTGAATTATTTCCTTTATTTCAGAGAAAAAATATCATTCTTTACACGCAAAGGACTTTCAGTACCTGAGCTTCCACTTGATTTTTTAATACCTGAAGCTGATTCAATAGAGGAGGAGGAGGAAGAAGAAGAAGATGATGAAGATAATGCCGCAGAAACAGCCATTGCTATAAATACAGCTCTTGTTGCTAGCAGCAATAGGAATAAGAATCTCAGCGATAATCATTCAGGCGGTCGTAGAGAAATACCAGCGTACAAATGTAACGCCATATCGATGAGCACAAATGTTACAACAACACCAACTCAAGCGACTCAAGCGACACCCACAATAACAGCAACTGTTCCAACATTAGAGAAAACATTATCAAATAACACAACTAACAATGAAAACGATGATGTGAACCCAACAGAAACGTCAAAAGATGGCCATCGTTACACTTATGTTGTTGACCCTACCTATGGAGTAGAGGTTTAACTTAGATTACTGTTTGATTGGTAGGGCAGCAAGATATTAGTAATTTTAATTACACTTGTATATTATTGTAATTTATTTAATTTATAAACGTATTTAAGAAAATTTAAAGAATTTAATTGTATAAAATAATTTGTAATTTAATTATTATAACTGATGAAACAAATTTCGTGCCTATAAAATTTAATAGAAAAAGAAAAAAATTTTTAAATTTTAAGTAGTTGTTATGAAATTGTATAGAGAATGTAAATTTATTCATATTTGAATAAGAATTGTATAAGAATTTTTAATTTATATTTAATTTTAAGAATGGTAGCCATTCTTATTGTTAAGCTTAAACCTCTGCATTATATCCATTGATTCCCCTAAATTATAAACCGAAAACACCAACTGTGCATATGTAAATTTATATACTAATCCAATCATATGTTAACTGTATTCCTAAGACTATAACAGCTATACTGTTTGTTGATTATTAAATCCATATATACATATATAAATGAATATAAAAACTAACTTCATAATTAAGATAATAAAACTAAATTAGTGAAAATATTATAATGAACTTATTTTTGATGCATGTAAAATTTGCTAAAATTTTACTAAAAGCAAAATAATTTCCTTTTTAATTGTTTATTATTTTTATTATTATTATATTTAAATATAAACTGATTATATATTTTTTTTAAACTAACCATTTCAATGGGTGAATCTAAACTCTTATTTTTATTATATTTTTTAAAAAATACTTTTATTAAGCTTGCGTTTTTGTTGAGCTCGATTATATTATAATACTGATATATAATATGAAAAACATATTGTAATAAATGTTTTGTAAAAAAAAATTATTTATATAAAAAATTTTTAATATTTAAAAATAAATTAAATAAAACAATTCATGAATATTTTATTATTTATGTAAAATAAAAGAAATTTAATTAGCAGTTACATATACTTATATTGTAATAGCTTATATATTATATATTTAACAATATAAATAACTATTTATAATTTTAACAATTTTATTTTTAATTTTAGTTTTTAATTATTAATTTTAAAATTTGTTATATTAGTTTTACGGTAATTAATATTAAAAATAGTTATGTAAAAATCACTTCAAAATGTATGAAACGGAAAATACTGTTTTTTTTGTACAACAATTTGTTGTAAGTTTTGTTGAAGTTAAATTAAACAAATCTTCTGTATAAATATTGGTAGTAAAATTATTATTTAAGAGATTTTGTAGTGTAATTTATGCGTAATTGGAATGCTTTGTTTCTTTTATTTTGAAAACTGTTCCATAAATTGATAATGAAATTGTGTGTGTGAAAAATGGAAAATTTGATATAAATTTTCATATCCCATCCCCCTCCAAAAAAAAATTACTCAAATTTTTAGTTTCTTTTTTTATAAAATAATGTAAAACAGTTTAAAAATGTATATTGTAATTGTG